AGAGGAGTGGGCCTGGAGTGAGGAAAGGAGCCAGGGCCAGCGGCAGAGGAGGGAGGAGGCAGGGAGAGGCGGGAAGAGCATCCCAGGGAGCAGACGACTCTTGAGAAAGCCACTGGGGCTTGCTGCATGCTTGGGGGTTCGCTCTGCCCTCTGGAGACAGGAATCTGAGCTTTCGCATGGACCTGTTCTTGCACGGTGAGGGGTCATGGAGGGAGGAGGGCAGAGAGGAATGGAAGGGAACCCAGTCCTGAGAGTCAGATGGCGGGGCGGGCTTCCGAGACAGCCCCCTCCCCTCACATCCACAGCCAGCATCCCCCCGGCGCTCAGGGAGGGCCGGGGCAGGGCCTCCGGGGTGGTGCCCCCTCCTTGGAGAGCCCGGGAGGTCCACTTTGCTCGGTGTGGGCAGCCTGCGGGGTGTGGTGGGCGAGAGGCAGGCTCTGGGGCTTACGGGCGGGGACGCGAGTCCGTCTGACCGGCTTTGCCACCTTGCCTGCGTCCCGGGTCTGGTCTGGGTGTCGGGGTCCTCCCCGCACGGGTGCAGACAGGTGGTTCAGGGACCTGAGTCACCAGATGTGCCGAGTTTGGACAGCGCGGGATGCGCTTGGTGGGTCTGGCGTGGGGTCAGGGTCAGTGATGGGGGGAGCCCTGGATCACTCTGACCTGTCTCCAAGCGCCAGGCCGTGACCCCCGCTGACCGCGGAGCCCCACGGCCACCACGGGAGCCCATCTGACAGATGGGGAAACTGACGCTGGGGAGAGGCCGAGGCCGACCCGGGGCTCTCACACCTGATCGTGTCCGAATCTTTCCCCACCCAGAAGCCCCTCTCCCAGAGCCCGTTCCGAGGGGTGGACGGTGCGGCCGGCCCGGGCGCTCAGGCACAAGTGTGGGCCCCCCTGGTATTCCAGCTATTGTGGCCTGAGAGGGGACGGGGTCAGCCCCCGGGGCTATATCTGGCGTGGCCTGGAATGTGGCCCAGGGAAGGTCGCCCTCCGATGGGTGGCCGCCAATTATAGACCAGCGTGATCACCGTTCCCAGTCCCTCGACCCCCGGGGAGTGGCTCAAAGGCCCGCTCCAGCAGCTGAAGCCCCGTCCCCCAGGGCCCGTCCTGCCTGCCCCACCGGAGCCAGAGGGGGACCAGAGAGCCGCCCAGGGCTGGGGCCGCCTTTTCCTGGGGGAGGGCGGGAGGGGACCAGGCCGGGGCGAGCAGAGCTGCCACCGGCCCCAAGGCCACCCGGCCGCCTCCCTGTCAGCTCCCACCAGGCGGCGTGACCAGCTGGCCACTCCCTAAAGAGTCTCTCATTTTTCCGTTTACTCAGCCCCGTTCATTGAGCATCTCTGATGCTCCTGACGGTTTCCTTCTGGAGGGGACAGCCTACTTTCCGTCTCTGTGAATCTGACGACTCTCGGTCCTCGTCTAAGTGGGATCACGCGGGATTTGTCCTTTTGTGTCTGGCTCGTCTCACTCAGCGTGATGTCCTCAAGTTTCATCCACGTTGTAGCGTGTGCCGGAATTTCCTTCTTTTTCAGGACTGAGTAATATTCCATCATGTGGCTACAGCACATTGGTTCATCTGTTCAGCCATTGATGGATCCTTGGGCTATTTCCACCTTTTGATGATGGTGAATGACCCTGCTGTCAGCACGGCTGCGCAAACATCCCATAGAGCCCCTGCCTTCACGTCTTTTGGACGTAGACTCAGAGCCGAATTGCCCAATCATCTGTTTATTCTGAGTTTAACTCTGGAGGAACAGCCGTCCCACTTTCCACAGCGGCTGCTGCATTTGCATTCCCATTCCTGCAGGTTCTTGACCCAAAGTCCGGAGACTCTCGAAGGCCCAGCCCCTGCCCCATCCCCTCTCCTCCTGGCTGGGCAGGTGGGGGTGACGGCAAACGCAGGGGAGGGAGCCTCTGGGACGCCCTGTCCTGGCTCAGACGGCATCTTCTCATGGAGCCTTGGGTGCCCGGCCTCCAGGCTCTGCCCGCTCCAGGCATGAGCGGGAGGGTCCCAGCCAAACAGCAAACAGTGCCAGGCTCCCGGGCGCCACTCCCGCCCTGACTTCCTTTTCCGGGGGTTCCTACCTGCTCCAGCACCCCCCTCCCCCGGGAGGGCTCTTTGGGGCCCTGCATGTCCCATGAAGGAGAGAAGGCAGTGATGAACGCAGGACCCAAAGGTGGACTCAGCGGGCTGCGGCCGTGGCGGGCGGGGCAGTGCCAGGAGACGGGTGCTGGACGAGGATGTCCCGGGCGGGGGGGACCAGGCCAGAGTGGAGCCCAGGGCAGAGCCGTCTGACCTTCCCCACAACACCGACTTGGGCACAGCAGCCCTGGCCCCTCGCAGAGCCTCACTCCGTGGCCCGCAGCAGACACGGGTGGGCGTCCAGGACCGGAGCGCCCCGGAGCTGTGTGCCTTCGGGCAGCTCACAGCTCCTCCCGCACCCCGCTGTCCCGCCCGGGAGGTGGGCGTGGCTGTGGCACTTGCCACGCAGGGGGGCCCCCAAAGCGCCCTCCTGTACCAGGTCGTCTGCCCGATTCCCTGGGCGCAGCGGCTCTGACGTGGAGACTGGATTCCGCTATATTTCCTTCATGCTTTTAAAGGGATACTAAACGCTTCTTCCCTGTTGGGTTCGTTTCCATCGCTTAGAAAACAAAAAGGTGATTTTGGGGGACCGTCCGAGTTCACAAGGAGTGAGGGACGGGCACGCTTCTGCAGGTTTCTCTGTGGACTCCTCCGTGGCCCCGTGCTCAGCACCCCAAGACCATCAGGGCCCGTGTCTGATGGGCCCCGTGTCGACAGCCCCGTGGACCCCACGCAGCTGGCGCCCCGGAACCCTTCCTCAGCCTGGGGACCCTCCGCCTCCCCTCATCAACAGGAGCAGGGTCCCTCTACTTTTGGGGGCCACCCGAATGGCCAGGGGGCCGGGCCCTGCCCCTGTATGAGTCTGCTCGGGCTGCTGAGATGAAGCCCCACAGAGGCTTAAACAAAAGGCGACAGTCTCCCAGGCCTGGAGGCTGCACGTCCGAGATCAAGGAGTCGGCAGGCGGGCTCCTCCGAGGCCGGGAGGGAGAGTCCGTTCAGGCCCTTTTCCACCAGCTCCGGGCACTTTGCTGGGGCTCTGCCAGCCCCCGATGTGTAGACGACCCGCTCTCTGCCTCCATCCTCTCAGGAGCTCTCCCATGTGCGAATCTGCGTCCACACTTCCCTTCTTACGAGGACACGGTCCCACGGGAGCAAGGCCCCATATTGTGACCTCATCTTAACCAATTCCATCTGAAACGAGCTGGTTTCCAAAGGCCACGTTCAGAGGCACTGGGGGGTTAGGACGTCAACATATGCCTTTGGGGGCCACAATTCCACCCTTAACTCTCTGGTAACCCACGTCCAAAGTGACGCTGCTCGGCCCGCAGGGCGGGTGGGGACGTACCGAGCACAGCCTGTCACCCGCAGAAACCACACGTTCGGGGGGCCGGCCCCTTGGCCGAGTGGTTAAGTTCGTGCGTTCTGCTTCGGCGGCCCAGGGTTTCCCCAGTTCGAATCCTGGGCATGGACATGGCACTACCCATCAAGCCATGCTGAGGCGGTGTCCCACATGCTACAACTAAAAGGACCCACAACTAAAAATATACAACTATGTACTGGGGAGGGGGCTTTGGGAGAAAAAGGAAAAAATTAAAAATTAAAAAAAAAATAAAAGAAACCACACGTTATCATGTCTGATCCGTTTTAAACATGAACCAAGACTCCCGGTGTCTCCTTCCACCTTCAGTACAGGCCTCTGTGGATCGTGGAGCGTCCAGTGCCCGGGTGAACCCGACACCGCCACACGCCCCTAACTGCATGCCCAGGGCACGTTCACCCGCCGAGCCTCGGTTTCCTCATCTGCAAAATGGGAGTGATGGCTGCACCTGCTCCATCTCACCCCAGACAAACGACAAAACCCCAGGGGGAAAGCCCAGCATGAGCTGCTGTTGCCAATTGTTGCCACGAATGTTTCTTCCTGCAGGGGGTCGACTCCTGGAACCCGACTCGCCGAGGGGCTGGTGGGGGGCAGGGCGGGGCATCAGGTCCCATGCTGTCTGCTCTTTGCCAAGATCCTCCCAGGGCATCGCGCGAGTGTGTGCTGAGCCGGCCTCCTCCCGCGATTGGCTAGTGTGAACCAACCCCAGCGGGCGGGGAGCAGAGCGCCACACTCCTCTGTGGGCACAGGCCCGGGCCACACCCCTCACCTGGGACGGCTGCCCCCCGCAAGGTCTGGGAAGAATGAGAGCACTGCCCGTGCCCTTTGGCGGTCACAGGGGACCCCACCCACTGCCATTGTTGGGGGAACGGGTGTGGGGGGCAGCAGAGAAGGAAGACACCTGTTTCAAGACGGAGCTTGGCCACCTACTCGCTGTGGACCCGGCACATCACGTCACCCCTCTGAGCCTCGCTTTATAGGCAGAGCCAGGAATGCTCAAGGCCCTGGTGGCGGGTCGCAGGGATAAAGGACTCTGAGAGGGCCATACCTGGCCACAGCGCAGGAGCTCAGAGCTGTCCACGGAGAAGCACAGGGCTGCACGACGGAGGGAGCGTTTTAGGAGTTCTAAACAAAGTAAACCTCTTTCTTTCTCTCTTTCTACACATGGGTGTGCACACACGTATGCACAATACCTTCAGATACAACCAGGAACACACACACACAATTGCATGTGCATGTGTACATATACACAGATGCATGCATGTATGCATGTACACACAGATGGACACACACGTGCATGCACACTGATGCATACATGTACACACCGGTGCACACAAGCTGGTGCATGCACACATGTACACACACCGGTGCATGCACACACAGATGCGTGCACACGTGTACACACACACAGCTGCATGCAGACACCCACAGGAACTGACTTGCGCACACACAAGCAACTAGCCTCTTCCTTCCATCCACATCAACCATCTATCGGTTTCAAAAAATTGCAACTTTCCAAACCACGGGATTAAATGCCTCTTTAGCCCCGTTTTTCAGAATACAATCTCACGTCTTAAAATCGCGATTTGGCACAGACGCTGCTATCGTCACGAGGCAGATCCGTTCAAGCAAAGACCACCAGGGTTCCCTCGCGCTGTGTTCTAATCTATTCAATAACATAGTAGAATAAAATACTTTAATGTCTCCAGCACACAGACCCCCACGAGGCCCACAGCTGCGCAGCAGCGAGACTGCTCAGTGGCTGGGCCCCTGCTTCCGCCGGTCTTCCTGGGGGCGAGGGGGGCTCCTGGCCCAGCAAACCACGGGGTCTTCATTAGAAGCCGCCCACCCCCGAGCCCTCCTAGTTCTGCCGTGACCCTTGTTTGAGAGACTCAGGAAGGGCTGGGGACGTGTTCTGTTGGCACTGGAAACAGGAGCCAGCTCAGAAGCAGCAGAAAGGGGCCAGGTTAGGGGGAGTCCATTCTGGAAAGCTGCCGGGCCCGATGGTCAGCTGACAGTGGACCCCCAGGCATGGGTTGGTCCACACCTGCCGAGTGGGTCTGGCCGCGAGCTCGGAGCCCAGAGCGGGGCCAGAATGCGTCAGGTCCCGCTTCCATCAGGCCGGGGGTCTACACGGTGCCTATGCCGCTGTCGCCGCCGCCGGGGCTGGGCGGCCTTGCCCGGTGGCCCACCGCGGAGCCCAGCCCCGCTCTGGAGCAGCCGCAGCATCTCGTGGTCCTTGTGGTCCAGCACGCGGGGCAGGAACAGCGAGGACTTCTGCGTGCGGCGCGTCTTGAAGCCCCTGCGGGGCCGGCCTTTGCCGTTCACCGACACGTACCACAGTCTCTCAGCGCTGGGCTGCCGCCGCACCCCGGGCCCGCCGGGCAGCGTCCGGTACAGCCGCGAGGCGTACGTGTTGTAGCCCAGCTCGTGGATCCGCTCCACGAACTCGCACTCCGCGCTGTAGTGTTCCTGTGGGGCGCGGGGGGAAGACACCACGGTCAGTGGCCACGGAGGCCACACGGGGAGGGGAGAGGGCGTCGGGGATGCTCCCCTGCTAGGCCAGCCTACCCTCCTCTGCTCCTGCCAGATCCAGCTGTGCATCCCGGAGCCTCGCGCACACTCGCCCCTCCACACCTTTGCCTGGGCGGTGCCCTCCGCCCGGCCTGCCCCTCCTCCCTCCTGCGTCTGGTGAACTTGGCCTCAGGATTTAGCTCAAGAGCCCCTTCCTCTGCTAAGATTTCCCCCAGCACCTCGGAAGACTGGCCTCTCCTGCGTCCCCTCTCTGGTCCCCCAGCTCCGTCGCCCCCTCCGCGGGCACTGACTGTGGTTGGGGCGGGGGGGGGCGTCCCCAGCACAGAGATGCGTGCTCGTCTCAGCAAAGGAGAGACCCAGCCTGCCCAGCCCGGGTGCCCTAGACGTCTGCCTGTGGCACGGACGTCAGCAGCACCGGACATCTGGACAAAGGAAGGGGTGATGCCCCAGTCGCTTTTGAATAAATTGCATAAATGAGAGAGAAGAAAGAGAACACGGAAGAGAGGAGGGAAGGGCAACATGGTGGGGGTTTTACGAGCCCGGGTTTTCCATCCGTCAGCGAGTGTGGGTCCCAGCTCTGGGACTTGAACTCTGAGAGCCACTGTCTTGGCCTTGGGTCCCTGTCCCACAGGATGAAAGAGGGACAAACATGCACAGAGCAGAAGCTGGAAGCCTGGCAGGAAGGCCGCACCAGTGAACGGCAGAGACACTGCCCTTCTTGGGGGGGAGTGCGGGGGGGGCCCCAGCACAAGCAGGATGGAGAGGAGGTTGATTGTCGGCAGAGGTTAGTGGGGACCCGTGTCAGCCTGGGACAGAGTTGGGGGATGTAGGTCCCTGCCCCCTCGGGTGCAGGCATCTGGAGGGTCAGAGGCGCAAACTCAGAATTGAAGGAGCTTCCACTAGTGCCCCTGAGGGGTTGCGTGGGGTCTCCCCAGTCAGGGCTGGGGAAGGGCTGGGTATGCCTTATGGCCATGCAGTCGAGGCTTCAGTTCCAGTTGCAGGCAGGGGGGCTCTCCAGGGGTCCCCCCACCCCAGTGCCTCCCTCCCTGCTCTGTGCTGGAGGGCAGGGCTGGGGGGCAGGGAAGAGCAGGTGGAAGGACTGAGCACTGGGCAGGGGGCAGGAGTGGGAGACCCTTGGGGTCTGTCTCCACTGGGGAGGGGGATAGGGCAGCTACTGAGTGCAGGTGGCCCTGAGGTCCCTGAGGGTCACAGGCTGGTCGGGGCCAGACCCCTGAACTGGGCAGTATGTGACCAGAAGGACCTCAGAAAGCAAACGTTTAAGTTCTGAACGCTTCTTTCCAAAGACAGGCAGGTCCAGAGGTGGGGGAGGGGGAGCTCCAGTTGGATCGAGGGCGCGGGCCCCCTCTCCCCCGGAGCCCAGCCCCTCTCTGCTCTACGGCCCCTCAGCAGACACCTGGAGCTCCCTGGGTCACAGTACGGATGCCACTGCCCAAGACCAACCTCTGCACTTTACAGATGGGGAAACTGAGGCCCAGGGATGGTGCCAGGCCCCAAAGCACAGGTGGATCTGAGGCTGTTCTGGCCTGTGTTCGACCCCTGGGCATGTGGGGCTCTGGGGCCGTCTGGGTGTGGGTGGGTGGGCTCATGGCAGACTTACCCGCATGCCCCCCCCCCATGCTGGGTAGGCTGCAGGAGCATCTGGCCCCCGTGCTGGACTGTGAGAAACTCAGCGGAGGGGAGGGTGCGTCCCCCAGGGCTGGGGCCCAGAGCCTAGGAAGCCAGAGAGTGGACTGTCTCTCTGCAGGGACATAGTCCTGTGAGCCTCCAAGAGCGAGGGGCTCAGGTCCTCCCGAGGAGGGCGCTCGGTGCTGGGGGGGACAGAGCACCTGCTCGCACCTTGCAGGGGCTCCTGGGGGGGCTGAGATGACCAGGAGGAAGGCGTCAGCTCAGGGCCGGGGCGCAGATGGCAGGGAACTGCCACCAAGACTCGCTGTGGCAACAATTCCCAACAGTCCCCACTGCCTGTCGGTCCCTGCTGTCCCACCCTGGACCCTCTGCTCCACAAGCCCCTCCCCCGAGTCCCTCGCACCCCGACTCCACTGTCCGTCCTTGTCCTGGGATGTGACAGCCTGCTGTCCTGGCTGCCCTTCCTTCTCAGGCTTTGCCAGCGCTCAGAGCCTCTCCAGAAAAGCCAGCCCGGGGCAGTGGGGGGTTGTGGGGGCTGGCACAGCTGCCACCCCCGTGGTTCTGAGCCCCAGGGGACCGGGCCCAGGGTGCAGGGATGGCAGAGCGGTCAGTGGGATGAAGGTGTGAGGAGGAAGTGGACTGAGAGACCTTCCCCAACGAGCTGATATTGGAGAGAGTCATTCATGAGGAGCCGGCACTTGCTGGTGAGCTTTTCAGGGATAGGAGCGTTCCAGCAGGTAAAGGAATGGGCACAGCATGGAGGGGCGAGCCTTGTGGCCTGTTCTGGAGGACTGAGGGAGGGTCCCGAGGCTGGAGGCGGGCACAAGCTGTGGAATGACAGTGGGGTTGGGAGCAGAAGGCGGTCCAGGCTGATTCTCCGTGGGCTGAGCTAAGGCACCGGGGTGATAATTTGTGGGTGACAGGGAGGACCTGGAGGCCATGACATGAGTGGATTTGCATTTTAGGAAGACCCCTCAGCATAGTTATGACATACGGTAGGTGCCCGAGATATTGATGAATGAAGGAATGAATACCGGGTGGATGGAAGGAAGGAAGGAAGGGAAGGAGGGAGGGAGGGCGGGAGGAAAGGTGGATGGATGAATGAAAGGGTGGATGGATGGATGGATGGATGATGGATGGATGATGGATGGATGATGGATGGATGGCGGATGAATGGATGGATGATGGATGGATGGTGGATGGATGGATGATGGATGGATGGGTGGATGCGGAAGGGAGGGAGGGAGTATGAGTGGGTGGATGGGTGGATGGATGGATGGATGGATGGATGTTGATGAATGGATATTGATGGATGGATGGATAGATGGATGGATAGGTGGATGGATGGGTGGATGGATGGATGGATGGATAGATGGATGGATGGATGGATGGATGGACGGATGGATGGGTGGACAGATGGATGGATGGACGTTGATGGATGGATGGATGGATGGATAGATTGATGGATGGATGAATGGAGGGATGGATGGATGGATGATGGATGGATGGGTGGATGATAGATGGATGATGGATGGATGATGGATAGATGGATGATGGATGGATGGATGGATGATGGATGATGGATGGATGACGGATGGATGGATGGATGGATGGACGGATGGATAGATGGATGGATGGACAGATAATGGATGGATGGATGGATGGATGATGGATGGATGGATTGATGAATGGATGGATAATGGATGGATGGATGATGGATGGATGGATGGATGGATGGATGGATGGATGGAAGGAAGAAGGAAAGGTGACTGGATGGACGGATGGACAGATGGATGGATGGATAGATGGGTGGACTGATGGATGGATAGGATGGATGGATGGCTGGGGAAGGGAAGGAGGGAGTATGAGTGGGTAGATGGATGCATGGATAGAAGGAGGAAGGAAAGGTGACTGGATGTATAGATGGATGGATGGACAGAAGGAGGCAGAGGCTGGAGACCAGCAGTCTGGTCCCAAGGCTGTTTTAATGGTCCAGGTGGGAGGTGATGGAGGCCTGAGTTATAAGGGCACCAGCTGCGGGGCTAAGGCAGAGGAGCAATGGGTGTGGACTGAAGAGAGAGACTCAACAGGTACTGTTGAGGGCTTGGAAATTGACTGACTGGAGGCTGAGAGAGAAGGCGTCCACCATGCCTCCCAGCCTACCTTGGGCTTGAGTAAGTGGCTGGTGGGGCGATAATTATGGTGGGGGGTCAGGGAAGCCGCTGAGTTCAGTTGCCCGGGGTCTTTGAGCCGTCAAGATTTTTGGGGGGTGATCTATAACTCAGAAGGGAGGTCAAGGCTGGAAGTGGGAGCTGTCAGAGTGCAAAGGCCACCAAGCCACAGAAAGGGATGAGCTGGCCTGGGACGTGAGAAACAGGTTGACAGCCAAGACCCGGGGGCCCAGACAGCCAAGGGGTGGGGCAGTGGGAACAGCGCCCGCAGGCAAGGAGGCGGTCCCCAGGATGGGGGCATGGGGTGGCAGGTGACAGGCGTGGCAGCGAGCAGCCTCACGTCCCAGGCTATCTGCAAGGCAGGGAGACCTTCCTGAAAAGTTCCACACCATCCAGCTGGACCTCCCGGCCACCCCCCATGGGGCCGGGAACCTCTCCTCCTCCTTCCCCAGAGCCAGCACTGTCAACTCTTGGGTTCAGAAGCCACAGGCAGACTCTGATCCACTGGGATCTGCCAGATCATGCTTTGTTCTGTGCCCCAGGGCCCCGGGCTGGGGCCCCCATAGAAGAGATGGCAGAGACCTTCAGCTTCCCTCCGGATTCAGCCCTCCCCGCCCGACTCTGTGAACTTCCCCAGCGTGGGCGGAAGGCCCTCTGTGGTCAGGAAGACCCGGACCATCCCCGCAGGCCGACAAGACCCCCTTCCTGGGCGTCCCCTCTCCCTAAGGGATAGCAGCGGCTGTGGGTGGTCTGAGGCTGTTTCAGGAACAGAAAGTCAGTTCCACTCCCTCAGCACCAGGGGCACGGGCCCCGAAGGGTCTGGAAGGCCAGAGTCCACCTCCAGGAAAGCTCAGACCAGACCCGGGCTGGGGGCTTGTCCAGATAAACCACAACTGGTGTTTGGAGCCTGTGGCAGCACACAGAAGAGGCTGGGCAGAGGGTCCCTCCTCCCAGAAACAGCTTCTCCGGAGTGGTCAGGGTAAACACACAGTGCATTCCAGCTCATGCATTTCCTTTAGCAAAACAGCGAAAACCTGTGCTGAAATCATCGGCTTGAAGGAGGGTTTTCCTGCGACTTCTCCTCACCACGCTTTGCCCGACTTCAAAGGGGGAGGGCAACGTGGGTGCGTTTCCCTGCCACCAGGGCTGAACCGAGGGATGGAGCTCACGGAGCTTGGTCCTCGGGCCGCGTCGTCTAGGTGACGTGTGGATGGAAAACCTCTCATTGCTCAAGGAAGCATCAGCCGAATTGCATGTAATGACTGGTTGCAGGTTGCAAATTTCCTAGCTCCGTGTACTTCACTCCGTGTCTTTCCCGCCCCCGCCCTTGCAGAGGGCACTGCCAACACCCACAGGGTCACGGGACCCTTTTTGTTTGCGGGAGCCCAGACCATAGATGGAGTGGGCTCCAGCCTGTGTGCCTGGGACACGGGCACCATCTCCCTCTCGTCTTGCTTCCAAGCACTGACAGCTCTTGCTTCTGCCCCCGTGGGGAGGACTGGCTGTGTCCCACCCTGCTTCCTCCTCTCCCTGCCCCCCAGGGGAGTTCTGGGTGAGCCGACAGGAGGGCTGCTGCCCAATGCACACCCTTGTTTCGCCCCAAGGCTCACTTGGGTCCATTTATTTCCGCGGAAATCAGAGGGACTGTCTCTCCCCTGCTCTCAGCTACCTTGAGGGAAGGGCAATAATGGTGAGCACAAAACGTTTGGAGGGACCTTTTCTAACCCGGCAGCACTGGAGGACGTAAGACCTGTCTAACCCCCAGCGTGGCCCTCCTTATGGGCCGTGCGCCTAGTCCTCCAAGCGACTGAAAGAGCACTGGGCGTGGAGCCCCAGGGCCTGGGGTTCTGGCCCCGGCTCAGGGACTGCACATCCCTGGGCAAAAGCATTATCTTGCTCATGTCCCCTCTGTCCCCTGACGTGATGTTTAAGGGGGATGGCTGCTCTCACAAGACTGAACTCACCGAAGCGTAGAGCCGGCCCCGCTCGTTCATGGCCAGGTACCGCCCGGAGAAGAGGCCCTTGATGGCCACAATGCCCACCTCCACTGCCGTTATCTCCAGGATACCTGGGAAGATTCAGGAAGGTTCGTCACTCCCTCCACCTCCCAGACAGCCCAGAGGGGAGGGCTGAGCGCCCGCTGGCCTGGCCCGAAGCAGCACCCCGGCTCGGGGGAGCGGGTGGGGACAGTGGGAGCAACACATACCCAGGCGAGGGGACTTTGGAAATTCAGAGGAGGGAGAAATTACCGGGCAGGGAGTGAAGCCAGAGGAGCACCAGGGAAGGCTTCTCCAGGGAAAAGAATTCCAGCCGGGGGGAATAATGAAGCTAACATTTGTCCTCGCTGACTCCGTGCCGGGCACAGCGGTCACGCAGGACGCGGAGCTCTTGCAGCCACTCAACAACCCTGCCCGCTAGTTTCACGAGACTGCTGAGGTTTAATGACTTGCCCAGGACATCACACAGGCGTTTGAGCTGGAATTCAAACCCCATCTGCAGATCCCAGAGTCTGAGCTCCCCACCTACGCTGCCTGTCCTAGAGGCCTGTGGAGTCCTGGGAGGGGGGACCCAGCCACCCTCGATGAAGCCGGCTGATAATATAATCCACACGGTGCACTGATGGTGCCAGCCAAACCTGCTGGCCCTGGACCTGGGCGGGAGATAACTGTCCAAAGGGGAGGCCTGGGATGCCAGATGTCGGCAAGAAGCCCCTTTAGACCCAGAGCTCACAAAGGGAAGCTGGCCCCGGCTCTCCCACTCCTCACTGTATGTAAGAAAATTTAAATCTATTCTAATGCCTTCCTTCTGGACACAAGCATGCTTTTTCATGGTGGCCTGCAACAAAGGCCCAGGTGGGGCCATTGTCCCTTGAGAAGGCCCTCGGGGCGCTGGGGCATCAGCCGGTGCCCTCTCCAGGGGGCGCATCTCTGGGCGCACGCCTGGCCCCCAGCATGACAGCGATCATAGGGTCAGATGCGGGGCCACCGGAGGCGCGCCGGGGCGCAGGTTCTCGCGTTCCGGGGACGTAGGCTGGGCGCATCCGCGGCGCCGGCCAGAGAACCAGAGAGGCGCCCGTCTGGATGGGGGACAGGGGCGGCTGCGGGTGCGTGCCCTCTTCTGCCTCCAGGCTGCCCGCCTTGGATGCCCCAAGAATTTGGACCCTCTGCAAATCCGAGGGGGAGACTGGATTTGGAGAGAACCGGGGTGTCGCCGAGAGGCGAGCTCCGGCGCTCCCGTGGGCCCGTCCTGCGCACGGGGACGCCCTGGTGGCAGCTGGTCCTCATCGCGCGGCTCCAGAGGCGTCCTCGTAAGACGCCCTCGCACAGTTGCGGCTTTCCTCGAGGAAGCAGCGGTTTCCCGCCGCCGCCTTGAACCCACCGTACCTCTTCCTGCGCCCGGGGCGAGCGCCGAGCGCCGCGTCGCCGCGGAGGACCCGCGAGACCCTGGCCACACTCCCACGCTCCCCACTGCAGTCCTGCTGGACCCGGAGTTCGGGTCTCCTACTCCCCACCGGGCAGAGCTGCTTCGACCCCCTGGCTTTGCGCTCCTCGCAGGAGGGTTCAGCCCTGGTCACGGGCCCCGGGGCCGGAGGAGCCAAACCTGGAGCGTCGCGGGACTCTGGCTGTAGCGCAGTCCCGCCGCGGGTCCCCGCTGCGGCACGGGGTAGGGGTGTCTCTGTGCCCCCAGACCCGGGGGGACGCCCCTCCATCCTCGTAACCCGTATGCCGCGGCCCCCAACCCGGCGGCCGGTGCGTCCACCCTGCTTCGCTCTGCTGCCAAGGGTGGAGGAGAGAGGGCTGCGGCTTCTGGCCCCGAGAAATGACTCTCGGTGGCGGCCGCGGCCCGGGAACCCCGCGCTGCCGGGCGAGAGTTTTCCGCGCAGAGGCAGCGGCGCGAGGCGGCCACCTGGGCGGCCGCGAGCGCGCAGGGCGGAGGGGACAGACGGCGGGGCGCTCCGGGATCGGCCAAAGGAGGAGGAGAAGTCAAAACAATAAAGAGGATGACATATGCCTCCTCCGGCGACTTTTCTCCGAAAGACTCAAAGGGCTCAAACTTGTCAGGGCCACCGAGCCCAGTGGAGCAGGGGGGAGCCCCGAGACGGCCAGCTGCGCGCCCCCTCGGACGAGAGGGCAGTGGGGAGGGGAGGCCGGGCCGGCTGGCCCCGACAGCGGGCTGCAGCCGCCAGTGCCCACTTCGGACGTGAGCTTCTCCCCCCCACCCCCACCCAGTTCCCCTCGTGCTCTTCTCCTGGACGTGGAGGGGAGAAAAGGGGACCCCGAGGGTCTCCCTCTGGCAGTGGTGGGTGGTCCACTTTCCCGGTCACCCTTCGCGCGCCTTCCTTTCTCCCGGGGCACACCGCTCCTCCCCGGGGACCCCCGCCGCGGCGCCGCGGGTGCCGGACACTCACTGTAAGCGCTGTTCTCCAGGCTGCCGTTGACGCGGCCGTTTGGGTGTAGCTGGAGGTGGTACTTGGTGGCGCAGTAGAGTTTGCGGCGCCGGGGCGCCCCGCCGAGGTGCTCGTAGACGCCGCCGCGGCCGCCCGCATCGCGCCGCAGCCGCGCCCCGGGGCCCGCGGCGGGCCAGCCGGGCTCCAGGAGGCTGAGAAGCAGGAGCCAAATCAGGCCCATCGTGGCATCGCGCCCGCCCCGCGGCGGCGGCGGCTGCAGGCGAGCGCGGCGCCCATGGAAGGGGCGGCAGCGGGGCCGGGGCGAGGCGCTCGGAGCGAGCCGGCTCCCGCGCCTGGCGGTGCCGACTCGGGCTCCGCGGAAGGTGGGGGGAGGGGAGGGAGTGGAGGGAGGGTGGAAGGGAGGAGAGTGAGAGAGAGAGAAAGAGAGAGAGATCTCTTAATTTCTACCCAGGATCGGGTGAAATTTCCGTTGCTGCGCAAAACACTGAAAGAAAAGACGGTTCGGCAACAAAAGGCCGACGTGGTCCCCAGGCGGAGGGGCGGGAGGGGGGGCGGGAGGCCGGGCGGGGGGGGGGGGGGGGGAGCCCGGCGGGGCGCGGGGTTCGGGCCCGGCGCCGCCCGCGCACACTCGCCCCCCGCGCACGGCCGTCGAGCCGCGGCTCCGCTCCGCCGCGCGCCTCGCGCCCCCGCGCGCCCTCCCGGCTCTGAGAGGTCCCTCCCCCGCCCCTCCTCCGCCCCCTCCCCCAGACCAATTATGCCTCCGAAAATTATAGACCGAGGCCTCGAGGCGGCCGCCCCGGGCCCTGTCACCCCCTCCCGGCCCCCATCAATCCCCCGGCACAATGGGAACGCCGCCGATGACTGATGTCCGCGAAAACAACTTGCGGGGAAGTCGCGCTGACAAACGCCCATTAAAGGCGGCGCATAATGAAGGGGGCCGCGGAGGGCGGCGGAGGGGAGGGCCGGGGCGCGGGCGCGCGTGGGGGTCCCGGGGTTGCGTCTGCGCCCAGAGCTCCCTGCCGGAGCCTGGGCGCTGTCCCCGGCGGCCCGAGGTGTGGCGGGCCCCGCGGGAGGTGCTTCGTCCTGTCGCGCACCCCAACTGGGCGGATCCGGAAGGGTGAGGTTTTCATTCACACGTCGGGCGGGCCCCAGAGGGTCCAGTCCCAGCAGTGGACCAGAGAGGGGGCTGGGGAGCTGGGGGTTGGGGGGTGGGGAGACCAGAGAGCCAGAGAAAGGGCACAGAGACAGAGAGCCCCAGAGAGCATGAGAGACAGACACAGAACGAGGGGAAGGAAGCGAGTACAGGAGAAATATGCCAGAGATCCACAGACAGGGAGAAGGAGAGAGAGACCAAGAAACAGATGGAGTCGGAGAGAGTGTGGGAGGGTTCCCCAGAGAAAAGCATGGAAGTCTGGTGGCCACAGAGAAGGGAGAGGAGAGAAGAGAGCAGTAGTGACAGTCCAGGGGGAACATCCCCACCTGGTGGGTCCTGAGCAGCCATGTGGATGCCCCTGGAGTGTGTGGGGGGCCGTCTCCCCTGGGGACCCCAGTGAAGAGGGGCTCCAGACACAGTGTTGGGAAAAGCCACATCCCTGCTCCCTTCTCTTGCCCCCCTGGCCTCTGCCCTCTAGCAGCCCCCTGGCCGGCAGCCCACTGGATACTGACAAGGGGGCTCAAGTAGGGGGGCTTTGCCAGCTGGGTGGAGGGTCCAGTGCGGGGTCCAGCGGTCTAGACCACAGCCTTGGCATGAAGTTGACCAGGGGCTCTGGGACGAGCCATGTGGGCTGGCGTCCCCTTGCCCATCCCTTCTACTTGCATCAGGGTTTGGGACCTTGGTCCTTCCTGGGGGAGGGGCTAGTGTGCCGGGCACGGGGTGGGGGGTTCCCTCGAGTTGCAGGAGCTGGTACATCCCATAGGGACATTTCTCACCGCCCTCTAGCCTAACACCAATGAGGCAGTGTGTCCTCAGTGAGTCCACTCCAGTTGGCTCAGTGCCTGAGTGGCCTTGGGGTGGGGGGGCACCCCCAGGGCATCCTCCAGTACCTCAGTCCTTGGGGAGGGGGCTCCTGGCCAGGGTCCGTCTAGTAAGAGCCTGTGAACAGTCAAAGACCAGGCCACCGATTGCTGGAGCCCCAGACTGCTAACGATGGAGCCTAACTGCAGGGGACAGAGCCTAGAGGAGGGCTCTCCTGCTGGGGCTCCACCCCCAGTCCTGGCCTGGGACCTGCTGGTCACGTGGACTTCCTATGAGTTCACATGAGACACAGCGAGGGCTGTTGGTACCCTCAATGCTGTTAGATCCGCTTCTGGGACTCAGGTACCTTCCGGCACAGTGTCAAAAGTCAGCAGCATTCAAGAGAGAAAGGAAGGAAGAAATTCAGAGGCAGAGAGCGTGAGGGCAATTGCGATCTGCGGGGGCTGGGGGCGGGCAGGGTTTCCGATGCCCCGTTTCTGGACCACAGGCCTCAGTTTCCTCCGCTGCAGGCGGCCTCCGGAAGATGGGTAGCCACCAGGAAAACCTGACAGAGGATGGTCTCGGTTCTCAGCCTCGCTCCTGCTCCACACCCGGGCCCCAGCGGCGTCCTGGAACTAGTTTCAATCCCACCACTGCGGGTCAGACTGTGCCCACCCCAAGGGTGGCCTGCAGCCTAGAACTGGGAGGGCCACCTATCCCCTAGCGGGGGTCCCCGGGGGGCTGGAGGGCCAGAGGGCAGGAGGTTTGGCTGGGTTTGTTCACTGTTGCACGCTCAGCCCCTAGACGGTGCCTGGCACACAGTGGCCCCCTCAGTACCTACTCCTCAAATGAATGAATGAATGAATGAATGATGGCCACTTCCTTGCCATGGTGCCTTGGCCATGTAGCATTGTCCCTTCTGAGATGCTGGTTCCTCATGTATAAAATGCCTCAAATACGCCTGGAGAGGTGCCTGCCGCCATATCAGCTCAGAGCGCGCCCTGTCACAGGGGTCACAGTTCGTTATGCAAACCGCCAGGCCTTAGAGAGAGACCTGGGGTGCTACTAGCAGTGACAGTGGGACAGCAGGCGCCCATGGCATTCCCTTCCCGGGTCCCTCCAGTGGCCCCGGCTCACCATGGGCATTCTTGTTGGCTCGACTTCGGGGCAGCAAAGCTCCTGGGCATGTTTTCTCTGTCCCCCGAGCCCTGGCGAGAGCCACCCTGATGGCACAGGGAGCAGTTTAAAGCCCGCAGCCTCCTCCCCTGCCCCAGGCCCTGCAGCAGCCCCATCCTCTGCTAGAGTTGAGGGGACCACCCCCTGTCTGCACCCCCAGTCCACTGCCTACAGCCTCTCCACGGCTTTGCTCACCCACCCACCCACCCACTGAGGCTTTCCTCTTCATCTAAACCACTCTGTCCTCCATCTTTCCTGGCCCAGGAAACCCCCTGGACGCCCCCACGGGCCTGGGCTGGGCTCCGGACATGGCTGGGCTGCCAGGCCCTCGGAGGCTGGGGCCCAGGGAGGCCAGGGAGGGGCACTGACCTCGTGGCATCTTCCTGGCAGGCCCTTCACAAAGTGGAGCCGGGCCGGGCTAGGCTGAGGCACCCACACCACCCACCCACGGCCACCTCCGCCCCTCCCCCCAGCACGGAACCAGGTGGGGGGATATAATGCGGTAATAGCGACCCTGTTAATTGCTTCCAAATGGTCACTGCAGCCATTTGACTAATTGGTCTCTTCCAGACCCCGGCCTGGACACCCCCAGGCCTGGCCCCGGCCCACCTCGCCACCACTGCTGGGGTGTCTGCTCTGGGTCCCCCCACCCCACGTCCTCTCCCAGCCCTATCTGGTACCTGGGTGACCCTCTGTGATCCCACCCCCAGGTCCAGGCCCCACGCCTCCAGACTCTCCTCCTGGAGAGGGAGCCCGGGGCCGGGGGGAGGGGACAGAGGGGACACAGTACCCTGTGATGTGGTCCCAGCCTGCCCACCAGGGTGACTGTCAGATCTGGTGCTGGCTCTGGGCCCCAAACTCGCTCTAATTATGCCCCCCAAGAGTGGTGGGAGAGAGACCTGGCCTTCAGTGTGCCAGCCTGGAGCCAGCGGGCCCTGAAATCCTATGGGCAGCCCTGCTCTGCCCTACTTTACAGATGAGAAACGGAGGCTCAGAGAGGCAAAGAGAATTCCTCAGGGTCACACAACTTGGAGGTGAGGCGAGGTGATGAGAACCTCCATTGCTTGGCCTCAGCTTGGGCACTGGCCTGCCATCCCCCAACAAGCTTTGGGGTCCAGGGCCTGAGCAGGAAAGTGAGGGAAACCGAGCCTGTCCCAGCCCCCACCTTTGCTTCTGGCAGGGTTAGAAGCCATGGAGAACAGGTTGGTTCTTGAAGGTGGCCTCTCCACGCCCAGCTGGGGTCAGTTCTCTGCCCGGTGGATGCTGCCTCTGGGTAGACCAGCTAGCTGCTCTCCAGCCAAGGCCCCAACGCTCTGCGGGCAAAGCCTGGTCCAGTGCCCACCAGGTGGGGGTACAGCTACCTTAGGGGGGGCTCCTGGATGGCACCTGGCTAGGGGGCTCCTTGGCACCAGACGTTCCAGGAACCCTGGGCCAGAGGGGCCGTCCCGAGGGGGCCTGAACTCTGCCTGTGCCCAGGAGAAGGAGGGTTGCTGGGCACAGAAAGGAGCAGGATCCCCGCTCTCCTTCACGCCCGCAGGACCTCGGGGGGAGTCCAGCTCCGAAATAGCATCTCGGGCCAGGAGCGCCCCAAGTGCATAGCGGCTGAGCCAGTAGGCGAATGAGAGACCCAGAAGGGCGACTGGAAGCCTGGGGGCCTGGGGCTGGGACCCCCCCCCCCCCAAGCAGAGCCTTCCTTAAAATTTGTTTTCATTTTAAAGAGCTTTATTGAGATGGAATTTACATGGCCCCCTATTCACCCATTCAAAGTGTATGGTTAACGGCTTCTAGTATATTCACAGAGTTGTACAAGCAACAATTTTAGAATATTGTCGTCACCCCAAAAGAAACCCCACCCCCTTTAATCATCACCCCCTCCCTCTCAAATTCCCCCTCAGCCCTAAGCAACACTAATTTCCTCTCCATCTCTGGAGAGTTCCCTATTCTGGACGTTTCACAGTTTCACATAAATGGGATCATGTGACATCTGACCTTTTGTGTCTGGATCCTTTCGCTCAGCATTCTGTTCCGAGGTTCGGCCACCTCTTGGCGTGTGTCAGTGCTTTGCTCCTTTTCCTGGCTGACTAATATTCCATCATACACATGACCCCACTTATTTATCTGTGCCTCCGCTGATGGACCTGGGGTCGTTTCCTGGCTGTGTGGCCATCATGAGGCCCCAAGCTGAGTCTTACGGGGAGGAGAGGCCTCCTTTCAGGGTGGAGGGGAGGAGGAGAGACGGATGCACACCTTGGGCTGCCCTCATTCTTCCTCACAAGCCCTCAGAGCCCGGCATGGGGCCACACACGGAGCAGTCGGTGTGAGCAGGAGTGCGGCCTCTGGAGACGGCAGCCTGCGTCTGTGGCCTCTGGCACACGGCCAGCCGT